TATTAACCCACCATCAGGGTTTTATCCTTAGGAGATATGCAAGAACTGATCACTTCTCTTAACTTGTACAACTGCCTCCTCTTCAAAACAATCATCTCTCACCTCAATTTTTTTTAAACAACCTTCTAATGGTCTCTCTGCTTCTAACCTTGAACATCTGCCATTACTTTTCCAGAACTGCAGCCAAATGATGTTTTAAATAATGCAAGCAAGAGCCTATCATTTCTTTTTGCAAACTTTCCATATCCTTCCCCTTCCTACTCAGACTAAAATATTTTTGAAGAACTGCAAGGCAGTAAAGAATGTGGTTTTCCTGTATCCTATCTCAGTATGCCCATCTCACACACTGCACTTTCCATTCATTAGAATGAGAGTTCTTCCTCAAAGCAACTGCATAGCCCAGTCATCATCTTCTTCATGAATTTATTTAAAATCCCTATCTTAATATAATTACAAAGTGGCTGAGTTAGTCTAAGTTGAATTTAAAATCAAAGTATTTCAGATTACAAAACCATTCACGATTTCTGATAACAGTCACAAATAAATGTACCCCAAGAATGAATACCCTTGCTTCACAATAGCCTACTACAAATTTGGAATTTTGGACACTCTTGATTTGGTAATTTACCACAGTGACTCCCAGAACTCAGGAAATTTCTACAATAATAACTGTTGTATTACATAAGAAACTATACATCATTACCAGTCAAGGATGGAGACACGTAAAGCAGAATCTCCTTCAAGAGCTTTAGAATAAAAATCTCTGTCTTTAGAGGTGCGTTACTATCCTATCAGTCATGGCCATGTTCACAGAGGTATGCCAATATAAAGCTCACCAAAGCTTTGTGTCCATTCTGATTATTTTTATTCTAGATTATAGGCATGACTGAATATATTGTTGCTCATGTGGCTAAGTTCAGTCTTTGGCCCTTTTCCTTGACTGTCATAGGAGTAGAAATCTCAACACTCTCAACATGTCAGGTCGTTTCTACAAAGCCAGCTCCAAGTCTACATTTATCAGTGTGGCAGGCTCCGCCTTAAGTCATCTTATAAACCTAAACTATTACGTGAACATGATGTGACACTTCTTAGTAGGTAAGTATCACATATGGAGCAAGAATCCAAAAGTATAGGGAGAACATAGATAACACTTGCAGCCATGTATTTCAAAAGACTAGAAGAATTTTCACTTATGTATAAATGACATGCTTGAAGAAACAGATATGTGTAACCTGATGAAAAATTACCAAATATGTACATGTATCAAAGCATCACATGGCACTCCATCAAACAGATTTATTAGTGTAAAAACTAAAAATAATAAATAGGTCACTATACATTCCCTTGCACCACTAACCCAAAACAGAGACAGATCCACCGTTTCTGCTATCCCCATTCTCCATTTTATAGTCTTTCTTGTGCCTGCCATCTGACATATCTGTTTCTCGGAATGAGTATGTGAAATGCAAGACTTCTTTTTTTTGTTTGTTCAACATCCTGTGATTTGAATATTTATCATAGTATGTGATTTGAATATTTTTCGTTATTTTTTGTGCGTATGAGTATATTAATGCCTGCATGTATGTAAGTGCACCTGTGTCATGCAATGACTATGGAGGCCAGAAGAAGACATTGGATCCCTTGGAACTAGAGTAACAGATGGCTGTTAGCTGCCATGTGGGTGCTGGGAACTGAATCTGGGTCCTCTTAACCACTGACTGAGCCATCTCTCCAGCTCTAATGGTGAATGATTTGAATTAATGAATTGTTTGATTGAACTAGTGTGTGAACTTATTTTTCTAAATTCAAATTGACTTGCAGCCCCTCTAGTCCTTAACATAGAATTGTACTTACTAATGTTTTTGAAGTAAAATCACATCAGCCCTCAGTAAAGTGAAATATTTTAAGTGGATTTTCAAATGTTTTAAATTTTTTAATTTTATTTTATGTGTATGAGTGTTATGCTTGCATGTGTATAAGTGCACTCATGTTGAGTGATGCCAAGAGAGGACAGAAAAAGGCATTGGATCCCCCAGAACTGGAGTTATGGACTGTTGTTAACCACTATGTGGGTGCTGGGATGAAAATCCAGGTTTTCTGCGAGAATAGTTAGTTTTCTTAACTGATAAGCCATCTCCCCAGCCCTGGATTTTCAAAATATAACTCCTTCATTTTGTTAGATCTTAAAACACATTGAAATATGTTCACTTCACAATTAGCTATTTAACATAATTACAAATAAGTTATAGATTATATCTCTTAAGTCTCTGTGTATATGTGTGTTGTATGTATATGTGGTTTGTGCATATGTACATGTGGATGTCAGAGATCTATATCAGGTATCTTCCTCATTCACTATTTGACTTATTTTGGAGACAGTTTCACTGAACCTGATGTTCATTGATTCATCTGGACTGTTTGGCCATTAACTCCAGAGACCTGTCTTCATCCCTTCCATGAAGCAGTGGCAGTTACAGATGAGCTGCCATACCTTGCTTTTACATGGATGCTAGGCATCTAAACTTAGGTTCCCGTGTTTGTGCAGCAAGTGCTTTACTTATTGAGCCATTCGTTAGACCCAGAAATTACATCTCAGAATTCTTAATCAAGAAAATTCTCAACCGTGAAGGTAGGGTAAGCAAGAGTAGAAATAGATTTTCCACAAAATCTGTGGCACAAAAATAAATTTTCACTATTTCATATTGGGGAACCCTAAGTTGATGCATGTCTTTTAAAATAATCTATTCATAAAATAAATTCTTAAACTGGGTGTGGTGGTGCACACCTTCAATCCCAGAACTAGAGAGGCAGAGGCTCGTGGATTGCTGTGAGATCTAGGCAAGCTTGGGATAGTCTACATAGTGAGTTCCAGGCCAGTTGTGTCTACATATATAGTGGGACCCTGTCTCAAGAAAAAAAAACCCACAAAAATAAAAAGGAAAACCATTATTAAATATCTGCCCAAATATCTATAATAGGCAGGTAATGTTTTGTTGTACAGGCATTAGGAAGATAACTTCTGCCTTTGTTGTTACAATGAGCTATACCACAAAACTTTACAAACTTACATGAAAGGAAAATTATAATGAATGATCTTTAGAACATTTTGCATATCTCAAAGTAGAAAAAGGAATTGGTAATGAAAATAAAACAGAAGTGTCGGTTTCTTCTGTTTTTAGGTTATAATCACTTACAAGTCTTTATTTTGTGACAGAAAATAGAAAATGTTTTGGAAAAGCAGAAAACTTAAGATGTTTAAATGCATCTTATAAGTGCAATCCAACTTATAGATGCTTCGGAATTGTGTATCTGGGAATTCTGCTGTGTTTCACAAGTTTTTAATTGATACAGACAGGAAGAGAATTGTGCCTATTTTCAAGTTTTAAATTCTTAACAGATTTCTTCAAATTCCTGGGTAAAATGTTCTAACACTCGAATAGCTACTTCCAATCATGTTTTTGAAAACTATACTGCATCCATGACAAAAGAAATTCATTACCTCTGAGTTACAGTGTGGGATGTCATAAGTCATTTCACAGGACAATGTTTGCTAAGTGAACTCCTGCAGTGCTGTTAGTGTTCTGCTCTTGAACTTGAGTACAAGTCAGTTCTGTTTAAATCACCCATTGCAGGATTCAGGAATGAGTGTGCCATTAAAATAAGTCAATTAGAGTGGAATTTGAAGGAAACTGGGTAGTTTAGCAACATCAGAGTTACTGCTCTGAAGTGCAGTGGTGCTTCTCATGCACTGATATCCAGCCTCCAGCAGCTGGACTTGGGAGTTTCCTCAGCTTTGAGAGAAAGATAGAGACTACATAATTCTCCCAGACAAGTGTGCCTTCTGTGATCCGGACACATTTTCTTCTTGACCTCTTTCAAATAATACCCCAAAGCAGGAAGTTTCAATCCTATGATGTTATTGGTTTAGCTTGAATAGTTCTGGTTATTAATAATCCTTATTAAATCATCCAGTTCCTACATAAAATCAACTAGTCCATCAGGAAGCTATTTATTGCTAACACTGCTAAGTTCATGCTTGAGTACGCCTGCTTCTGTGATGAAATGTGAATTTATGGTGCTTATTTGCTACAAGTTCTCTGCACAATCTGCCTCTAGACAGCCATTTTGGATGAATACCAACTTTTGTTCCAAACTCTGCTAGTTTCATTCAGAGTTTTCCTCTAGACTCAAAATTTTTTAGCTAGTTACTCTGCTTACAAATTTCTACCTATTAATAACCTACAAATCTGTATGAATGATGAAGAGTTTTGCATGCTAAACCTTTAAGGAAATGTTCAACCAGAATTTTTTTTCTATAATTTTGTCCAAGAGAAAGAAATTGACTCTTAGCACTACCACTTTAATCCTGTTTATATTTCTAGTACCTAATTTGGTATCTAAAAATAACAGAAGCATAAAATTAGAAATATGTAGATTTATCAAAGACTAAATACTGAGAGCCAATATAGTCTTTAATTTTCCATTTATACTACCATAGAAGTCATATTTTTGAATGGTACGAAGTATAAATGAATTTAAAATACAAATGTACTGTTATTAATTTAAAATCATCATTTCAGTTATAAGAAACATCAGCACAAAGATCATATGAAGTTTCTGGATATGGTTAGACTTGTGAAATTAGGAAAAAATCTAATTGAAATGTTTAGAGTAAAAGCAAAGAAATAAAATAAATGTGTGAATCAGTAAATATTTTATGGGAAGTTAAAATTTTCTGTGTTACACAGAAATACATACACTAAAATTGTCTTTAAATTTTAATTCCTATGATTTTCACTAACATAGTGTTTCAAGTTCCTAAAAATGAAGATCATCCATTCTTCACATCCTAAAACCTAGTTCACTGTTCTCAACATCATCCAAATATGTTCTCAGTCTTTTCTTAAATTTCAAAGTTGTTAACAGTTTCAGAGAACAAACAATGTATTTATACAACAATGATTTCACAGGAACTGTAATTTTTCCATTTACTTATTTAGATACCCCAATGGGACCCAGAGCAATAGCACAAGATGGCCGGTCTTCAGAAGCAATGAACAAAAGTACCTAACCTTGAACACAGAGTCGTCAAGAATACACACTAAGCTCCGTGCCCAACAGTGCCGATTCTGGACACTGTTTTTTCCAAAAGTCTTGGAATTGACAGGTATGTGCATTTTCCATGTGGTTATTTAATAGACTATGTAAAATTTGGGGAAAATAGACTATTAAATTGTTGGCATCCACTTTGATCTTAGCCAAGAAATGATTGAAGTGATGGTCTCTATACAGAAAAATATGATTTTACAGTTACATGAATCTATTGAGTACATTAATTGAATAATTTTCTTCCATATAGTCTATATATGTTTTGTACATTGACTCTAGAATAACACTTTAGGAGTCAAATAAATAAAACTGAAATAGACATTTCCTCCTGGAGAAACAAAAAATCTCAGTGGAGTCCTGTTTACTGTTTAGTCAGTCTATGGAATTTATTACTTGGATAAGTGAATAAATGAATATATAAAATAAACAAAAGATTGTACTAAGTATGCAAAAAGTAGATAAAAGTAGGGGCTGGAGAGATGACTCAGCCATTAAGAGTACTGTCTGCTCTTGCAGAGGACTTGAGTTTTGTTCCCAGCACCCCCATGGTGGCCAACAACCATCCCTTTAACTCCAGTTCAAGGGGGATGTGATGCTCTCTTCTGGCCTGTGCAGACATTGCACACAAGTGTTGCATGCACTTACATACATGCAGACAACATAATCAGACACAAAAAAATTAAAATCCCCCAACTTAAAAAATAATAAATTAAAACAAATTTATGATAAGTAGTTGAGCTCTTGGTGTCTAGGGAAGGAAAAGCTCCAAAATTAATGTTTAAAACCCTAATTCAAATATTTCACTTTAGTCTCTGCTTGGAAGTATTTAACTATGAACACACACATACAATCAGAATATATTACATGCATGTACAAAATTGTCAAAAGCCAATTTCTTTAGTAAAAAAGATGTATCTTTAAAAAACACATCTACAATTTGCGTAATATTAGTAGTAATTTAGTTCACTAATGTTCCAGGTGTGATTGCTTTAAATCATAGAAAGAAATACGAGAAAATACTGGGAAAATTGGTTCAGATGATAATATTATTATCATCCTATTTCAATATTCATTATTAAGAATAGACTTTAATCAACCTGAGCGATCAAACATATATCACCATTGTTCACCCTTGAAGTAAAAACTGACATGCATATAGAGCTCACTGCCAACTTTTTAAATGCTCACCTAGTCACAGCTCATTGGTCCCTGTGTCAAGCTTTAAATTTTAACTTTCAAATAAAATTAGCAGATTTCAGCCATCAACTATATGGCAGACCAATACCTCAGTTCTCATTCCCACAGCACACTGACTTTGAGAGTGTGTGGTAGGAACAACAAAGTAATGTGATACTGTTATTGTTCTGTTTTGTTTTGTTTCTTTTCAGAGGTGTTGGAATTAGTTTTAGAAAAATCTAAGCATCTCAGAGAAGCATTAGATAATTTAATATGTCCTTTTATTATCAGACATTACTCACCAAACTTGCAACTGTGTGCTCCATCTGTTTGGAAGATCTTCCTGATATCAATGCACTGTGTATGACAAATGTTCTGTGACATAATATATATCAAGAGATGAGTCTCTGCCTCCCTTGGCAGAGGAACAGTGCTGTCCTTGTGTTCTCCGGGTGTGAGGAACAATGAGGTAACTCATTTCATCTGCCAAGCGACCCAAACGGATACCATTGAACCTATCAGAGACCACATAGTCCAGTCTTTACCTGCCATATTCTTAAATGAGAGGGTTGAAGTTTAATCTGAATGACAGTAAATAAGGAGACAGGAAGTGTGACTTTAAATGGCATACTTATTATAAAGCAGGCTGCATTCCGGTTCACACACAGGCAATCTATGGCAACTTATTTATTGATACAATTAATTAGAATACTATCAAGTTTTAAAGGCAGGAATAAAAAATCTCTATGTGCAAACATTTATCACAAAACTTAAATGTTTTGGTCAATCGCAGCTACTTCTGAAAATAGTTGGCAGTTTAAGAGCTCTAACCCACAGATCTTATAGAATGCCCTAATTTTCTTTGAAGTAAATTTAGTTCCAGTCAGTGTATCTTGAAATATACATTTTTATTTAAGTAGTAGTTTTCTATTTTATTTTAAAAATATTCTTCACAATGTCCTCAAACTAAATATATTTTTACGAGGTTAGGAGGGTGACTCAGCAGGTAAAGTGCTTGCTATGTAAGCATGAGGACCTAACTGGAGCAACAGCACTCTCTTTTAAAAAATTAAGTATGGTAGCTTGCAAACTAGTGCACGGGGTGGAGAGCATAAACAAATCATAT